GGTAGGCATACTTGTGGAAGGAAATGTAGTGCAAAGGGTATCTCCAAAATGGCTTAGGAATATCACTTGGTAACCTATAGAACCCACCATCTAACATCATTACTCCCAAGATTCCGGAACCGAAGATTATGCCCATCAGGAAATTTGGAACCATGCTTGTGACAATCATCATGAGACCCTCAACCAACAAGACAGAAATAAAAAGCACAGATGTAAAATACAAAAATTGTTCATGTCCTTGGTGAAGTCCAACTAGGTAGTAAACCAGTGCTCCTGGGATTAATGATATCAATAGCAAGAATGGAATAGCAGATAAGGTGTTGCCGATGACAAATGCAGTGACACCATAATGGCCATTTAGTCTTTCTCTTTCGAACACCTAATCAAGGATCAAAGATTTATCACAAACAGATTCAGACACAAGCATGTCAATCACAAGAGGGGGATTTTAAGTATCTAAAAACTTGTGTAATGACAATAAAAAACTGAAGCCATGGACAAAAGGAGAATGTCCATGTGACAAAATTCTTATTTGAAGGCAACTTTTACCTTCATATCCTCCACAAATGAAGGGAACCCTCCAACAGTTATGAAGGTCAGGAATGTAACAACAAACACAAGCAGAGAACCTCTGGCCTGAAACCAACAAAATTAGACTTTAAAGTTAGTTTTTATTGGGATTATGACATTATGTAGCTTATGCTCAAGTTTGTGCTTTACACACTTCCCGACTCTCTGGGTTACCTGAATTGATTCACTGCTTGAGCCAATGTCAAAGAACATGGTTCCAAGACTTAAAGCCAAGGCACCATAGATAAGTAAGCGTAGCCAGTAATAGCCAACTTCGCGATACATGTTCAGGAAAGATCTTCTTGTGAGAATGAGGCATTGGGTATAAAAGTTAGCATGGCTTCCATTCACCATTGAGACTGAGTCCTGCAACCATTTCTCATAAAAAAAATTCAGTGGTCCAAGCTCACAATCTTTTCATTATTATTTTGCATATGCAAATTAAGCTTCTTTTAATAAATGAAACTACTCTTGTTTTTGCAGTATAAATTGCTTCTGTCCATCATTCTAATGTAATTGTTGTGATCTATTTCTATTATTTGAGGTGTAAGGTGTAAGGAGACTCACCCTTTCTATTATTTGAGCTATTTCTTTTTCAACTTGGTGATTAATTTCGGATGAATCATACAATTTAGCAAGAATATGAATTGATTCTTCTGTGCTAAGCCCTCCAGCTAATCCTTTCTCAGTGTCCTGTGAATGATGCGGTGAATCAGTTATAATTCTTTATATGAAGCCTAATGAAAACTAAAGTAAATAAAGATGCTAGTTACTTGTACAAAGTCTTTGTTGACTGTTTTTACAAAGTGATCAGAAGGATTCTGAAGACTTGGGCATGGAAAACCATTTGATGAGAAAAACTGCAGGCAAAAGTAAAAGTCAATCTGTCATTGTTCTTCAAGAAAAAATTGTGTGAAACTGTGAATACACAAAAACAACATTTGTGGTTTCTGACCTTATTTGCAGCAGAGACAGGTCCAAAGTATACAGTTTTCCCGGAAGACAGAAGACAAAGGTTGTGGAAAAGTTGAAAAACTTCATTACTTGGCTGGTGGATTGATGCTATAATAGTCCTTTGAATGCCATCCTTTTGATTTAAGCTGGAAATTCTACTCATAACATAATAAGAAGCTGCACTATCAAGTCCACTAGTCGGTTCGTCTAGGAAGAGGAGTTTCGGGCGTGTTAAGATCTCAATACATATGCTAACTCTCCTCTTTTGTCCACCACTAATGCCTTTAGATCCGCACCCTCCGATTCTGGTGTCAACCGCATCTTGCAGACCCATTTCTCTGATGGTAAAATCTGCTCTGTCCTTTTTCTCTGACTTGGACATGGAATCAGGCAATTGGAGCTGGGCTGAGTAGTATACAGCTTCTCCAACTGTTAGAGTTGTCAAAATAGTATCATCTTCTGTTACATATGCCTGATTTCATATGATGAGAGAAAGGAAAGTGATAAATAAATAATAAACTTAATGTTTCTATAAGAAAATGACTCATCATTGGCTAATAAAAAAGGGCTACTTTTATCTGTGTGTATGGGGAAAGAAGGGAGAAGAACTGTTCAAAAGCTTTAGAAAATATTCTTACAGATGTTCCATAAGCCAGTGCTTGTTTGTGTCCATTGATTAAAATATTCCCTGTTTGCTTTATCTTTGAACTTAATCTTCCTGAAAATTCACATCACAAGTATATGATATTATGATCTTTCTGAAGTCTAACAATTTCATAAAAATTGTTGCATTGTTACCTACACCCTCAATTGTTACAGATGTTCCTTATATACAAGATTCTGAATTTAATTTGCATATAATCAATATTTGGAACTAGGGGAGACCTTTATAACTAATTACATCTTACAATTCAATGTGACTTACACAAGTGAAACAGAAGGTGGGGTTTTGAAGGTCATCATAGGCAAAAAAGTTAGCATACTAATGCAAAGTTCCACTATATGAGGACCATAAATACTATGTTCTAATTTCATATCAGACCTGTAAAGTCAAATGCATGTGAATGGTATGAAAATTTCAAGCCTCATATTTATAGTCTGGTCCTAAACTATGAAAGTTACAGGGTCAAGGCAATCATATAAACACAGTTACCTGCTAAAGCATCAAGAAGTGTGGACTTGCCACAACCTGAAGGACCCATTATAGCTAAGAGTTGTCCTGGTTTTGCATAGCCCTTTACACCTTCAAGTATTGGTTTCCTTCCATTCTTTCCATTTGAAACAGTCACCCAAAGATCCTTCCAAGTCAAGAAAACACCTTCCTCTTGATTTGCTTCACCAGTTTCTATTGATTTCATGGCTTCCACATCAAATGTGGTATGAAATTCTGAAATGGTTGGCAGAATTTTAGAGCTATTGTTTGGTTCACAATCATTAGCATGAGGCTGAAGAAGATAGCTCATGATGAATTTTATGAAAAGAGTGAGTGAGTGAGTGAGTGTTTGGTCAATGTTACTCAAAGTAGAAAGAGTGTGCACCAAGATGGTAGAAGAATATGGTTTAGTAATGCTTCCAAGGCCTACTTACTACTACTATATATAAAATATTTTGTCTATATGTACCAACAACAAAAAACTGTTTTATCTGAATTAAGTAATTTCTGACTAAGGCAAGGCTAAAACACTAAACAGAACTTGTAATACTTGGTGATTTGTACAGTCGAAGACTAATGATCTTAATCAAATTTCCACCATTGATGATATATTAATGATTTAAAATTAAATGAGTTTATTCCAAATTAATGATAGAGATGTGATTGTGATTATTGATCTTGGAACATGTAATAATTTCTCGTGTGGCCATAGAGGGAGCCACCTTATTTATTAAACTCCAGCGACAATTCATTTTTTGTAATGAATGATATCAAAATTTCTATCTTTTCTGTAAGAATTTGTTAAAAGTAAAAACTAGTCCTTATGTAACAAAACATAAGTTCTTTAAACAACGTTTACAGTTAATTTGCTTTAAATTTTTCAACTAGTTATTTCCTTGAGCCAATTTTTCATACAGCATGAATTCAAGTCTGACAAGAGAGAATTGGTACAATCCTATACAATGTACTACAGCTTGATTCAAATAGTTACAGAGAATTTTCAGCCAGAAAAGCTACCAGATGATATTACCTAACTCTTTTTGTTGGTCCCAAAATCAAAGTTCTGACAAAAGCACATTGTGGGTTGAAAAAACATGCAACAACAGTAAATGTCATGGCAGAACCGAAGGCCCAACACAATGAATGTTGGGTGTGAACAGTAGGTGAAGTTGGTCCTGATTGAGTCCATAGTTAATGCTTCGACAGACCCAAAAACTACCCTGACAACTTTTGGGTCCTAAGAAGCTTGGTCGCCACGTCACACAACAATTTCAAGTTAGTTTTGCACACACACAAAAGTTGTTTCTGCAGGAATTTTACATTTCAAATCTTATTTTTCCCTTTATTCACTTCTGAAATCTAACTCATAAACAGATCTTTAGATAAGGGAGTTTGAGTATTGTAAACGGAAAAATAGATATCAAGAGAGCTTAGACTTAAATGAGTTTTTATTTTATTTTACTTGGATTAGTCTAAATCCAATGTGTTTTCTGTATATGGGGGTCTCAAATAGAACAAATAGCCATAACTTTTCAGATCAGAAGGTCGAGCTATTCCTGAACTTGGATAGAAGAACAGATCCAAAATTTTCACTAATATAGATATTATATATCACATCTTACAATAGCTAACATAATAAAACATATATACTTCATGAAACATGTTCCATTATCCATATTCCATACAGAGAGTATACAATGGAAATGCATCTAACAAGTCCAAGTTACTGCGGTAATACTATAATTACTTGAGCTAAACCCATAGCACTAGCGTGTTTGTCTAAGATATGATGACTTATCATTGTTCCTTGGCCTTATGATGTTGAACACTATTTATTTAGCTTCAACATTAGACTTCAACTTCTCCTTGCCCTTGTAATGATCAAGAACAATATTATATATAGAACAATCAACAATAATTCCAAACATGATAACAATATCAACCCACTTAGCTAGAGACCCATGACAACAAGATCAATAATATAATCCAAAAGAGGGTATGAGGATAAAGAAAAATGAGTTTGTTTTGGTGATAATCTATTTGGGATAATGAATCATAGCCTTTTTTTTTCTGTATTTATGGAATTGGAATATATATGCATTTTATCCTTTTGTAGTTGAGTCTCTAAGTAGTACAAAGGAGAATACCTACACAGTGCAAAACAATGTAAAACATACATTCCAAGTTTACAACTCAAACAAATCCATGTAAAGAGGGAGCATCCTTTCTACTGCTTTCAGATGATGCAGCTGTTTTATTTTTATGTTATGAACTTATCATCAAGTTAGTAATGTGTTGAAAGAAGCTGCTACCAGATTTTCAGATGAAGACGTGTCAGCTGTGTTGGGAAGTAAGTCCCACATTGACTGCCTCATTGTACATTCTTATTTGATTGAGTTATTATTCTGAATGAATTTTTTGGAATGATTCTCCTCCTTCCATCACTCACCCTTGAGACAAAGCTTTTTTCTTTCTGTTTTCTGCTTATTTTAACTCTACTTAGATCAAAGTGATATTAAAGAAAATGTGATCATTTTTGGGTATAGCCTAGGTATATAAATTTTGCATTTATTTGTTTGTTTAATAGATGAAGGTATGATGATACTACTTTATGTCGACTATAATATGTGCTAAGCATTTATTTGCACCCAGAAAAATGGATCATGTGTTAATATTGAATTATATATGTATGAAAATTCTTCATTGTTGAACATGAACTGAATTATTTAAACTAAGTAGACAAGAATGTGAGCATGGAAAGCTTACACCAGTTTGGTAGGGATATATGATTTGGCTCAATGGACAGATTCTTCTATGTTAATCATATAGCACCAACAATCCCAAGTTATTATGTTCAGAATAAATTACAAACTAAGAACATTAAAAAATTGTCTGGTTAAATCATGAACCATTCTAATGAGATGCCTAGGAACTTTGAATGGGTAACAGAACCTAAAGCTATGAGCCTAAAAGATATTGAAACTCCTGCAAACTGTGTCAAGACCCAACCCCAAAAAAATCTAAAACACTGGCTTGTTCTTTGGTAGTGAAAGATGACTTGAATGGTCCTTCGTGATGTAAAGTAGGACTCTGATTCACAAATTCCATGTGCTTCCGCAAAATAAATCTGGCACAGAACTAAGCCTAAGCTAGCCAATCTTATATCCCCTGATCTTATTCGTATGAATGAATATTTAAATTTTTTAATAGATGTAACATATTTTTTATTGACTCAGAATAGTATATTTGACTGGGACAAAATATATATATATATGTTATAGAGTCATGATCACGTTGCATATAATACGTGCTAGCTGATCATCTTATTGGGCAACATTATTTAAATAAAGTATATTGATAGGTCCTATTCCTATACTCTATTTTAAGAGTTACATGTACACCATAAACATAGCCGTCTCAATTATTTTATGTTTTGGCAACTCTGGAATTTGATGGGACAGCATCATTTCATGACACCACTTTTCCAAATTCATAATTTTTCCAAACTCAATGAACAAGAACATGATCGTTAAAGGCAAATATTCCTAAGCCATATGGTTTCACAATAGGGACCAGCCTGGCATATACTGTAACACTAAACACGCCAATGCAACTTTTGGCACCAAAAAGCCTACATTTCCTATTACTTAACAATTCATTTTCTGTACACTTCTTACTATTTTCGTGTATAACTAAATATACGTGTAATAAATTAATCAATATAGATGAATAGAAAAAATATGAATGAGTAATAAGGTGACATAATTAATATAAATGAGTAAAAAGTAATATAAGTATCATTAAATATATATTTTTACAAATAAATAACAAAATTATTTTATGAAAATACTGAATTAAAACATTCTTTTATGAGAAGACTAAATTTGGTGTTGGATATTTTTTGTTCAATGTGATTTATTTTATAACTGAAATTTTAGTCCGTACAATAGTTGCATTTTTTTATATTAAAGTCATACTTAAAATAATTCAAAAGCAAATATCAATTGGGTATTACAATACAATCTATTTTAATATTTAAATTTAAATGATAAGTGGATTATTATATCAAAATTATCAATTTGCATCTTATTCAACATATTTTAAATTAAAATTTAAAAATGGTAAACAAACTAGTAAAAAAGGAATATGCAATTTTATAGAATTAAGAAAAAATGGTTAAAAGGAATATGTAATTTTATAGAATTAAGCAAAAATGGTTAAAAGGAATATGCAATTTAATACTAATAAAACACAGTAACGTAAAAAAAAGTTTTTCACGTTTCATAAGGAGTTTGTGTGATAAAAAAAAGGTGAAAATACAACATTTTGTAATTTAAAATTCCAGTGAATAGAGTTTAGAATAATAGGTGATTAGAAGGTCACATGAGGTAATGTTAGTATTAGTAAAATGGTCATTTTTTTAAAATTGATTCAAAATTAGAAGTTGTTGAGTTTGGAATGGAAAACAATAAAAGATATGTGAATGAGAAAATTATGTAAGTATTATTCCATTGTGGAAATAGTGAAAATTAATAAATTATAATTTCAGAATTAAATAACTTCCATGAAGAACTACACTACAACATGTCACAAGAAAGGGCTAAAATGTAATTTTTCTCATGCAAGATTAGATGATTTAAGTGCAATTTATCATGTGACCTAATATTTTAGAAATGATAAAATTAAATTTATGTTTAGAAGGCATCAAGGTTTTGAAATTTCCTTCCCAGATTTAAAATATTGAGTAATTCAACTAAAATAAGAGAAGAATAAGCTACAAACCTATACTATTATTCTATTAAACCATACATCCAGTTAAGATGGAGCAATTTGGCCATAGTTGATGAACCATTGAACGGTTAATTACCACCCAATAAGGAGTCTGATATTTATCATAGAATTGACTTTCTACGGTATGTTTTATGGATTGAATTTTATATGGAACACTTAGTTAGGATAAAAAGTGAAGGAATGAAAAAATTATGTAAAATATTTTTTCAAACATACTTTGGTTCAGTGTTATCAAATTCGGTTTAGACTGGTTCAATCGTGAACCGGGCATTTGACTTATCCGGTATCTAGCCGGTTTTGCATCAAAATTGGATTGGCCCGGTCAGTTTAAGTGCAAAATCGGTGATTCGGATTGTCAGACTCATTGGACCAACTAAGTGAGTCAAAAAATATTCTTTTAAAAACAAACAAAACATTGTCTTTTATAGATGACAAAAAATAAATGTTTTTTAACTTATTTGTAATTATGTTTGTCATTTGTTAACTTATATTATAGCAAAAAAAAATTGTTTAAATAAAATTTAAAATTTTGTGTACTTTTGTTACAATTAAGTATAACACATATGTTGTTTACATTTTCAACATATTTGTGACATTTTATACTAGTTAAATCTTATTTTTCATTTAATTACATATGAGAATGTTTTTAAATTTAGAGTATAGAATTACTAAATAATGTTAATTAATAATATAATTTTTTTAAATTTTTTTAATGTAAACCGTATAACCCACTAATTCAACTTGTGGTTTATTGGTTGTATTTAATGAACAGAAAAAAAAGAAAAAAATGGTCAACCCTCAACATTTTCTTGTTGCTAACTCTTATAAACTTAAAAAAATTCATATTTTGTAGAGTCAAATTTATAAATTTATAAATTTATAAATGTTGTTAATTTCCTAAAATTCTAAAAAATATAATAAATTACATGTCAATGTTATTATTAAAAATAATTAACGGTACTCTTTTTACTCCCTTTTCTCTTATACAAATAACTAAATGATAAATATTACTTATTTATTTATTTGTTCTCAAAAATAAATTTCGCATGTTTAGTTTCCTTTTAAAGTTTAAAGAAGAATTAAAGGTGTTGCTTTATGAAGGAGGTGACCCTCCATCAACATTTCACGCGAAGAATTTGTTACGACCCTAAGAGTCTTACCAAAACTACTTCACATACTTTTCATGACAATCCTTACACCTTAAAGACGAGTATTATTAAAGAGTCCTCCACTATATAAACATATAATATCATGTGTTTTTTAATTTTTTAAGGGTCCAATTTTTTTCCCTAAATTAAAAAAAGTCAAAACTTTGTAAAAGTTTATCGCACGTGTATGGTCCAGCTGTATCAACTTGGATTCAAACTCCACTACTTTACCCCTGTAGTTGAGAGTGAAAACAGATCATACCGCCTATCAGAGGCCTAATACCTAGTTTATAACAAGTCAGGTCAGGCTATACATTTTTGGTAAACAAGCAAGACTTAGGCTTATCCAATAAATAGGTCAGACTCAGACCTTTTAAAAAACATATTAAGCCTAACAAATCGACCTATGTAATGTTATTATATATTTATAAATTATTTTTTATAATATGTACAAAAGAATTAAATAATAATTTTTTAATGTAAATTCACTAGGTAGATATTAGACTATTTAATATTTGGAGAGACTTGAACTTAAGTACATAACACAACTCATGTAAGTATATAATTTTTCCTACATTTTACATAATGTGTTGAATTTTTTTACCTTAACATGCATTTAAACAGACTAACATGCCATACCAGACTTCTTTTAAACAAGTCAGACCTAAATTTTGAATTTTTTTAAATAGACTAACATGTCATACCCAAACTCATATATGTTATATAAGTTCGGTCTGTTTAGGAGCCTGTTTAGGTATATGTGTTCCCTAATGCTGTTATGCAATGTTGAAATTCAAATTCTCTCTTCTTTAAAATGAGCCCCATTTTTTCATGCTCCTTCCCACCACCCAACAATTTAAGGTTTCCTTGGAGTTATATTTCAGAGAAAAAGAGGGAACATATATTTCTAAAGGTTAATTTAAGATAGCTATATATGTTTTTATAATAAATTAAAACAATAAATTAAATTTCATAATAGTCTTATTTATTTATAAAAACATCACATGATTTCATGATATTATATTGGTATAAGAAGAGTATATTTCATCATTCTTCTGTGGACAAATATTATTTTAAATAATCAAACTTTTAAGCTAATATAATATTTAATGATACAATAGTACCATTAGACAAATACATCCTAGGTTACATATAACATTCATAATTTAATATTTTATTCTCATCAAATTTCAACTGTTAGAAAAATTCTTAAGCAACTTAAAGTGAAAGTCCACATTAGATATTAATATCTTTAAATAACAACATTTTTCAAAATTTTCTGGTGATGAATTCATTAGGACCATTTTTATTGGACTTTAAACTCTGAAGTTGACCAGATCTTGTTATAGCATCAACATCCACCGTTAGATTAAACCTTGATCTTCATTAAAAACACATCAATTTCTCGCCTTTATCTTCACACGCAAACCGCTCTATAAATACCCTTCCAAACCCTATCTTCTTCTTCACACACCATCTCTTTCACAGTAGAAACCTCTCAACATTCTTCTCTCCCTTAACAATGGCCGCTTCCACCGTTGTGCTGATGCTAGTTTCTGCATTGTTGTTGAGCGCCACCGTGGCTCTATCTCCGGCATCTGCTCCGGCTGCATCTCCCGTTTCGGTTTCTTCTCCGGCTGTTTCTCCATCTGCTAACTCACCCGCTGCATCATCTCCTACTCCGGCGGTGACCGGTCCTTCACCTTCCGCCGCCGTGAACTCTCCTCCATCTCCTCCTCCGGCCACTGCTGACACTCCAGCTGGTGCTCCTTCCACCTCTCCATCGATCTCTGAGTCACCGTCGTCTCATGCTCCTGCAGAAGCACCTGGAAAAAACGGCGCCGCTTCGAACAGATTCACCGTTGCTGGATCTATTGCTGTTTTCGGTTTCGCCGCCGCTTTTATGATGTAGAGAGTTACTTGGAGTTATGTTTATTTTCCTCTTGTTTTTAAATTTTTATTATTATGAATTACGACGTGGCATGAATCGTGGACTGTTGTACTTGATTTTTGGTTGTTCTTTCTTCGCAGTGTGACGATTCATTCATTTGATTATTTTGTGTATCTTTATTATAATGTTATTACTCGAATGAATGATACATTTATTATCCACTACTTCTGTTATATCTCATCGATTATTAATTATCTTTATTTGCCTTTTCATAACTGTTATCCA